ACGCTGCACCCTGGGCGGGGCCCGACCTGCTCTCATGCTCCAGCGCCCAAGGGTTCTGCTTGGAGCAGGGAGTGGGGCCAGCAGGCCGCCTGGGTCTCTTCCCGCTCGCCTCTTCTACGCCCGCAAGGCTGGAGCGGCAGCGGGGGGCAGGGGGGGGCCGCCCCCCCAAAAGGGCGGCCCTCACTCGCACACCCCCCTGCCGAGACCCCGCACTCCCAGCTTGCTCCTACACCCTCCCTCCTGGCCAGACACCCCACTCTGCCTCCCACCCAGAGCTCGCCCCTCCCTGCACCCCCATCCCTCTCCCACTCGCTGGCAGCCCCGCCCCGCATGCTGAACCTCTCATTTTTGTCCCACCCCAGAGACTAAAGGGGTCCACAAAATCCACCAACTCCAGAACCCCCGAAAAGTAAATCTGGCCTATGGGAAGCCCCGAACCTCAGTCCTCCCTGCCCCTGCCCCTGCCCCTGCCCCTTCCTCTGTGGGGGACTAAGGTGTCTCAGTTGGGGGCCGCATCAGTGAGGGTTGGGGAGCTTGGGGGGTTTTTTGCTTCTCACTTGTATGGTCCCCGACTGATTTTTCTGTATGTCAGTGGCCCAGACTCAAAAAAGGTTCCCTTCCCTGCCATGAATACAGAGCCCATTGAAACCATTTGTGTTGGGAATTTTACTTGATTTCAAATGAAGTTTGATAAACTAACACGAGAAGGCTAAAGCGCTTAATCTGTGTAATAATTGACATGAAACTGTTCTCCCTCGCTGCAGCACTAGCAAAATGGCTCAGGGGTAATTAGGTAATTCACAGTGAGTTTCGGTTAGCAACTGGTGGTCCGCAGAATGGTTTACAGTGAGCCAGGTGGTCCCCAGGCCAAAAAGTTGGAGAACCGCTGCCCTAGAGAATTCTGGGAGGGGATTCTGGCTGGCAGACTCTACCCTCAGGATTTGGATCCAGCCCCTAAGTTCAGATACGGGTATTGGTTTGGGTCACTCCCCTGCCGAGAGCCAGCATGAGGGCTAAGCTCTGTCGAACGCCTCAGATTCACCACCGAAGAGTAAAGGTGTCAGTTCCTCCCTGCAGCGGCACCACAACCCCATGCTGGAGCGTGTCCCTGTTAACACCTGTGAGAAACATGCTAGTAAGTGGGGGCTGGGAGCGGGAGGAGTTTAGTGACGAGGGAGCAGGAGGGATTAATTGCTGAGGGACAAATTAAAAGCGTGAACTCCCAGCAGCCAATGGGGGAATAGCACAAACTTCATTTCGACACAACAGCCTGGGTTACAGTGCCATAAAAGGGAATTGGGCCCCCGGAGGAAGAGGGGGTCACAGAGCGGCGGGATGAGATTAAAAGAGGAAATGTTTCTGCAAAATATCAGGAATAGTTAATTAACAGTGACTGTTTGGGCCGACCCCTCCCCTCGTGGTGTAAATCAGCAGAGTCTCAGTGAAGTCCCCAGAGCTGTGCCCTTTAACACTAACTGGGCTCTGTTCCTTTATGAGACTGTAAGTAGCAGGGCCATCTTCTGCTAAGCTTCTGTGTGTGTCTGCGTTAACAGATGTCACACGCACGCTGCGGAGAGCGGCTCGAGAGGACGTGAGCACCTCACTACAGTGACGGGCACACGCAACCTGTTGTTAGCCAGTTAGGGAAATATCCGGAAGCAGCCCTCTCCCCCCAGCTCCCTGCTCAGCCGTGTAGCAGTGTGTTGCTAGCACTGCTGAGACCCCACTTTTGGGCACAGTGGGGGTATAGAGACTGTGGTGTGACAGCCAGGACTCTTGGGATCCAGCTCGAGAGGGGGGTAGGTCTGTGCTGCTGGCTCATTGCAGGGCCTCGTATTCAGAGCAGCGGTAGCTGTCAGCCCCCGCGTAAGAGAGGGAAGGTGGGTGCGGTGATATGGACCAGTGACTGTTGGTGGGAGAGGCGCTTGTACCTATCCCTATGAGCTTGGGCAAGTCACAGCCCCTCTCCGCTGCCGAGGGTGCGGAGACTGTGCTGAAGAGGGTCTTGTGTGAAGTGGGTTTCCTTTCTCCTCTGCACCTCCCCCCTCCCTGGGATTCTCAGCGCAGGACAAGGAGATCCCTACATGGCTCGGTGGGGTGATATCGGACAGACATGGGTGACATCTGCCACAGCCATGAACATCTTCTGCCCTCAAGAGTGGCACTCTTTGGTCCCGTTAGCCATCATCCCTGCAACCGGGGAGATCACTGGATTGGTGATTCTCGACACCGGCCTGTGTGGGCTCTGCTCTGACTAGAGGGGCCCAGAGTTGTTCTGATGAGGTGGCTGATCACATTACACTCACAGAGATCCGGGGGAGAGAGGGCTGGTGGGGCTGCCCTGTGCAAACTGCTGCAGTCCATCCAGTAGAAAGCATTTCTCTGGAATAGCTTTGGGGGGGGAGAGAAGTGGGCTGTGTCTAGACTGGCAAGTTTTTCTGGAAAATCAGCAGCTTGAATTTCCGGAAAAGCACTGACGATCTCATGTAAAATCATCAGTGCTTTTCCGGAAAAACTATGCTGCTCCCGTTTGGGCAAAAGTCTCTTTCCGAAAGACTTTTGGCCAAAAGGGCCAG